TTCATAAGAAGGGCTTAGCATTTTAAGAAGCACTTCTGGTCAGAAAAGGATTACAGATATGCAATAAAGACAAATCCAGATTTTTTTTTAAAAAAAAACTTCTAAATGGGTCACAGTGTCAGCTAAATGTACATAGGCTTGGGAGAGAGAAGAAAAAGAGTATAGAGGGTTGGAAAAGAAGTAAATATTTAAAAAAATAAAACACAGTCTTTAAAGAGACAGAGTACAGACAGTCAAAAATGAAAGAAATAAAGATAATAAAATAAATATGAAAAATAGGGTAAAAATAAATAAGCCACATAAAGATGGAAATTTACAGAGAGTCTTGATTATGAATACTATCATGTTTTTTTTTATTTTTATTTTTTTTACTGTGAACGAGCTAAATACAGAGAGACATTTCATTGTACAGACTGTTAAACTAAGCCAGCATATATACTCTAAAGGTATCTTGATTTCAAAATTTGGGCCTAAGGATATTTGCTTTGGAAAAGAGGTTCTTCTTTCGTTTCCACAGAGGATGAGAACCTATGGAATCCTTCCAGACTAATATGTTTGATGGACCAAGACCCCCTGAAAGGTCACCTTGATCACACCTCAAAAAATTACTTTGCCCAATAAAGAGCAGGAAGCAGTTTGGAGAGAACTATGTCCATATTCCCAAATATTGTTTATAAATGTTTGTTTACATTTAAAGGAGTATATACTATAGAGATTGGTATAGATCTTGGCTTATTGATACAAATTTAAGGTCAATTTTATTATATGTATATTTTTGCTCTTGATTAAGGCATTGTGTTTGTACAACTCATTTAAAATGTAATGTATAATTTAAAATATAGGTTAATAGAGAGTCATCTATAATAGCCAAGCTTGTAGTCATGTTAGATAGAGTTTTGGAAGCTGCTTACAATACACTTCCTGTTAACTTAGGTAATAATATATACTTCTGGAGTCTTTGATGGAGTTGAAGAATAATTATAGTTTTCCTTAGTTATAATAAAAGATAGATATATAGTAACTATAATTCTTGCTTGATAACTGTTTTATTATATGTAATTTTACTAAGTTAAAATTAAAACCTTCCGTTTTATTTAAACAGAAAATGGCTTGAACCTACACAGTGTCTGAGTTCATGTGCACATCAGTCCTTTTGTGTCTGGAGGAGGGTTCCTTGGGATCACCTACTACCTCTGAGCTCATGTGTGCATCAGAACTGTTGTATCTGGAGGAAAGTTCCTTGGGATCACCTACCACCTCTGGTTTGGTTTGGCTAATTTTTACTTTCCAGCTTTCTTTTACTTTCTTCCCTTCCTTCCTTTTTCCTTCTTCTTTTGTTTTTTTTTTTTTGTATTTTTGTTCTTTGTTCTTGGTGTTTTTTTTTGAGAGAGAAAAAAGAGAGCAGCATCCAAGTGAGCTTGCCTGAAATTGGATGGGGAGGGAGGTGGGGAGGTGGGGGAGAATCCAGGAGGAGTTGGGAGAGGGGAAAGAATAGAAACAAAATATACTGCATGAAAAAATTTTAAATAAAGATGTTTCAGTGTCTACTGGGAACTTCTGAAGAACATGCAGTGCTGCTGGTACTGGGAGCTACGTGCACAGAATGGTCATTATAAAGACGTGGTAGATACATGCAGCCAGCACTACGATGTCTTCATAAATTCCTAAGCAGACAATGTGACAGGGCATAAAGATTATTCAAGAATGGCCTGTCTCCTACGTGGCCCTATGAAATGCTGGCATTTCTTAAATAATGTTGAACTTGATGAAATCTGTATTAATAGACATACATCCTTATCTGTGTGTGAAAACTGACATTCGTATTTTGTCCAAAACTTCCGATTTCTTGGGCATGGGCTGTCTCAAGCCATCAGGGCCCTGTCATGGTCTGCCAGTTCAATCTCTGTTACAGCACATTCAATTCTCCTGTCTGAGCCCTGAGTGCTCCCGTGTTTGACTACTCAGCTCCCAGGCTCCACTCACAGACTGTATTGTGCCTATAGGACCATCAAGTGTTCCTAGATGCTAGGGGTTCACAGCCAAGCCAAACTTCTTATGGGTCCCTCTCCAGGGCACCCTCATGGCAGGCATAATGGGACATGCTTAGCATGGGGTACTTCCCCTAAAAAGGAACACTCAATAGTCCAGAAAAGCTGGTTAGTGATACCTCAGCACACTGAACCCTTTAGACTTACAAACAAATAGCACAAGAGATATCTTTTTTTATTCTCAAACTGCAATTTTACCATCTTTTCCTTGATCCGTGAACTTTTTCCCAATAAGTACTTTGTCTTTATCTCAGTCTAGACACAGGGTACTTTTCTGTTTTACAACCAAAGTATTTCTGGTGGGCATAGTTGGGGGATGCACTTATGTGGTGTCTAGCTATCATTGGTGCACACGTGATGAGAGAGAGAGACCCATACGCTCTGCCTGAGAAGGCAAGTGCCATGAAACATACCATCCTGATAAAGCTGCCAAGCTCAGGGCCACAGGAAGGACTAAGGCACATATCCCATTGCTTCATGGGACTCCAGTCCTCCTCCAGTCAAACAGTGGGCCGAAAAAGCTGAGGCAGTGATCTGCTGACGTTCAACTGATTTCCTAATGCCCATTGCATGTGGCTTTTGCTTCATTTCTGCATTTTTCAAGTGGGGATAATGCTCATCATAGGTTTGTCATGAAGGATTGTCGTATATATGTATAGGTACATATGCACGTTATTTCCATACATAGTTCACAGATCAATGTCTGTAACACAATGGACACTCTGGTCATTTTCTTTGTAGACATCTGAACAGAAAGCCCTCTTTGCTGCACACTCAATCCAGGACTGACTGGCAGGCTTACTGTTCCACTCATTTGATGTGACCTCTGTAAGATTCCCATACCAAATGAAACAGAAACAGAAGCAGGGGGAGCCCAACGTGCTGTCACTGATTGCTTGGGGATGTGTGGGCGGTAGCTGGTCAGAGGGCTCCGGACAATTAGTGCTACCTCTCCAACTCTTCTCTGTGGTGCTCACGCTCACACGTGTGTGATCCTCACACCTGGATAACTCAGGAGATGGTGTGGGCTAAGCTCAGCCTGTCAAGGAACACAACACCCAAACACAAAGCCTGCATGCGTGCTCAGGTCAGCTTCTCTTTTTCGGTGATATGAAGATGCTTTTGTAACTCTCACTGAACTTGAAAACAGGTAATTCTGAACTTCCCGCTTGGCCACTCAAAGGTGACCCTGAGGCTACAGAATAAACCTTTCTTGTAAAGTCAGAATCTTTAGAGAAAGTGAAGCCAAATTTAACAGCTTTGATATAGGAAAGATACTTTGGGTAAGAACATCAGACAAAATGCCCCCCCTCTTTCCCCACCAGCAGAAATAAAAGCAGCTTTTATGAGCATAAGAAAATAAAAAAATAAAAGACAGATGGAGAAAGGCTTGTATTAACCAGATCTTCGACAACTTGAATTTTGTGACTACCCAAGACGTCAGAGATGCCAGAGTCATGGGATACCTGCCGAGGAGAGCAGGAACAAAGAGTGGGAACAACCCAAGAGAGAGAAGTGCGTTACAGTCAGTCAACAAAGCTGAACGGAATTGGAGATGTGGAGACTGGAGATGCAGAGTTTGGAGTGTGCCCAGCTGGTTTTCAGTCTTGCACTGGTCCAGCATTTCCTCACTACGCTCCTTTCCCTGCACTCTGGAGCAGTAATGCATATCCTGTGCCATTATACGTTGGAAGTATATCATCTGTTTTTTTATTTTTTTTTACAGGTGATTACGTTAAGAGAGTGTCATGCATCTCATAAGAGACTGGATTTTGAAACAAGTTCAAGACGGTTATTAACTCTGGGGACTTCTGAAGTTGGACTGAATGCAATTTTTGCACTATGATATGGCTATAAGCCTTTGGCGGCCAGGGAGTGGAATGCAGAGGTTTGAAAGAAAATGGCCCCCAAAAGTTATGTCACTATTAAGAGGTGTGGTCTTACTGGAAAAAGTGTGTCGACTTCCTATTGTGTGCAGGGTGTGGTATACTCGTCTGTTCCTGCCTGCTTGCCACCATGCTCCCCACCATGATGAAATGAACCTCTGAACTGTAAGTGAGCCCCTCAATTAAATGTTTTCTTTATAAGAGTAGTTGTGGTCATGTGTCTCCTCAGAGCAACAGAACGCTGACTGAGACAACCACCACACTCTCCAGGATTTGGTGGCCTGAGAGCAGGACCGGCTCAGTGTCCAGGATTTGACAGCCTGAGAGCCTGGACTGTGGATCTTCCTGGCCCCACCTCCTAAAGTCCTGGTGTGCACCATCAGCCTGGCCAGCCTCACTTCACAGCATCTCTGCTATGTTTTTAACATGGCTCCCAAGACACCAAAGAGAACCTATATTTATCTTAAATAGATGATAAAAAAAAGCACTGATTTGGGAAAATGCATATATCCAAAGTATATTTTAGTCATTTGTTTTCCATTTTAAAGGGTTTAAAAATGGCTCTAACCTAGGAGTAACCCAGGAGACAGACACACAGCGGCACCTAAGCACATGAGCCATAGAGGAGTTTCATTTACAATAGCAAAATTCAGCACATAAAGCAAGTATCTAGTCACTGAGTTTGTTTTATTTGGTGATGATGGTTACCCTTGCCACAGGATGGCCAACCCTCAGCAAAATGTCACTGCAAGAACAATTCAAATTGACTGGGGTCACTTAGGGCTCCTGCTACTACTGGCATGCTCTGAAGAAACCTCACAAGCCCAGGCACACAGCTCAGCTCAGCTCAGCTCATGCACGGGACTGCAGTGAGGGTCTTGCAGGACATCCATACAACACGGCCAACAAGGGTGCAGCTCAGTGGGAGGCACGGGCACCCACAGCATCATTCTCAAGCCTGGGAAGCTAGGTTATTTAGGGAAGCTCTCATCAAGTGTCAGACACAGGATTTTTAGAAGTTCTTCAAACTAAGAACCTGAGCTGGCTAAAAAGATGACAAAATAAACACGGTATTTGATATGGTTTTTATTTAACGGACGGTTTCAAGGCCACGGTCCACAGTTCACATGATTCTGAAGAGCAGTCTTATCTTCAGGAGCTACCCACCTCCACACAAGCATCTCTGGAGAAACCCACATACAGGGATATTAGCTTTCAACACTATCATTTAGACTTTGTACTTGGACACACTTCAAATTTATCTACTTGATGCAGGTGCCACAGGAGATAAAAATTCATGCAATGATATTTGGGTTCTTTTTTAAAGTAAATCTATCATTTGATAATTCAATGCTATATAAAGTACACTGAATATCTAAAATAAAACAAATGCCAATTATATCATTAATTAATAATATATTTATTCTCTTGAAACCACACAGGCCCAAGTTCCTTTTTGTCTTCTTTGAGTCAGCTGTCTAAAAGCTTGTCCCTCTCAAATTTCCTGTGTAATGAAAACCAAGACATTTCATTTCTTCTTGGCAATTAACAAAGATGGCAGAAAGTTCAAGACATGTGAGCTCTTGATACCTTGGAGTCGGAAAGGGCTTCTTCTTGGGCAGAAGGCTCATAATCACCTGTGTTTTCCGCTAATTCAACCTCTAACTCGTCATTGCTTTCTGCACTGTAATCAACTTCTTCAAGGAATCGAGGTTCATCTTCATCCAAAACATAAGTGGTAGGGCTGCAGCCAAAGCACAGAACACACAAGGTTTCGTGAGACCCAGATTTCGACACACCACTCACAGGCATCAACCTGGACCTCAGTAATACAAGCAGCTTGGATTAACTGGAGACTTCATACAAATGAACAAGGTGTTTATAACAGCTGAAAGCCACCTGCCCCAGCAGTGGGGTGACATGGCCGTCTTTAGTGACACTGAAAGGTCCATACACAGCACATCATAGGCACAAGGGAAGAGGATTCACTCAAGGGTTATTAGTTCAAGGATTTCATCAACACACACATTTTGAAGATTTATCTTAAAATCCTATTTTAATCCCTGCAAATCAGGCAACAGGGAGTTCCAACAGGCTGCGTGAGAAACTGCGGCACCTAACTAACTCCTGGGAGAATGGGTTAGAACCATTGACGTCTACAGTGACTCGCTGCTGTGAACTGGTCACAGCCACATCCCCACAATGTGACTACTCAACACACAGACTGACTACTTCCCACCGGGTAGAGAATAAGATGTCTGTGCATATTTCTTCAGGTAGTGTATGAGGGATGAAAACAGTTCTCCCATGACTGCTTCCCAGTGGTGGGAATTACACACTCACATCAAGGACACACTGCTGGGACAATCTACACACCCCGCAGTTGTGTCCAAATGAACGCAAATTTCATATGTATGTTTGCTTACAGGCCACTTCCAAACAACTATTTCTGATAGGTGAAACAACCAAAAGCTATACAACTAGACAAAAGAGAAAACAGTCTGTTAAAATAAGAAGTGTAGGGTCAGTCAACCCTGGAGATGAGAGTATGCACAGCTGAGCACAAAATTCCAGGCCAGCACGCTGGAGCAGAAGGCAAGGGGATCCTATAGTTGCAATTGTGATGGAAAAAGTCAATTCTGTCTGAAAAAGCAATTCTTCCTCTAGTGAGCTTTACCCTTGCAGAGGAAAGTGTGGAGTGTGTGTGTGCACACGCGTGCACACATATGTCTGTGTGTCTGTGTTGGGAGTGGGGATGGGACTGTAAGCCATCTTACTCTGACACATAATGATTTTTCTCTTAGAAGTTCAGAGCTTTCTTGCCCAGTGGTTGTGGAGCACACCTTCAATCCCAGTACTTGGGAGGCAGAGGCAGATGGCTCTCTGAGTTCCAGGCCAGACTAGTCTTCAGAGCAAATTTCAGGATGGCCAGGACTACAGAAAGAAACCTTGTCTTGAAATAAACAAACAAACAAAAAAAAGTTCATAGCTTACACAGCATACCACAGTCCAGATAAAGATGTCGACTGGCTTGAAAAATGAACAAGACTTAATAGACCCAACATTTACAAGGACAACTTACTATGAAATTTAAACATGTAGTTAAAAATTCCATAGGTAGTAGTTCATGGGCAGAAAGACTGTAAAAAAGATTGTCTGTTTTTTGGCATGGTTGTTACTATCTCTCTTGCTTTTGAAATATAATAATTGGTTCACCTTTGACCTCAGTGTTTCAGACACTCCTAAAGTTGTAGGTGAATCTTACGAGGCTGAGACGGGAACAAATGAAGAGAACAAGTAAACTCCTGGCACATATTTGCTTAGTCCTGGCTGTGGACTGACAGCCAGAGAGGAGCACGGCAGTCCCAGCAGAGAGGCTGCTAGAGGGTGGAGGACAGAGCAGCTCCAGGCAGGTGAGGCACGGAGGCAGAGACAGTGCTTGGCAAAAGTGAGCAAGGCGACAGACCCCACACGTTAGGAGCGCCACTGAAGAGACCCTGAGCCAGCAGATGTAGCTCAATGGCCACTGGGAGAGCAGAGGCTGGAACCAGGTCGGTTACAAGGAGCAGGGTCAAAATAAGGATTGATTGTGTGTGTAAAAGTGGATACAAGGTTCATTAACAGGAAATCAGAAAAGGGTCTGAAGACCATCTCCTAAAGCTGCACACCAATGAGAAGACAGAACAAGAGAGGTGCCAGAGTAAGGACAGCAAAGATTTGGGAGCCTCAGACCAAGATAGCAAGCTCCAGGGGAGTGTAGCAAGAGATGGGCAGGGCTGTACCAGAGGCTGTGTCCCTCATGGCAAGTCATGGTTTACTCGTCAGTTTGGCATGAACAAACCACACCTGTTTCGTTCACCAAGCACCCTGCTCATGGTGCCACCTGTTCTGGTAAGGAGAATGGAAAGAGTAGGAAACAAAGCCCTCCTCTTAGTCCACACTGTACCCACCATGGTCACTCAGACCCTTGTCTCTCCAGATCCTCAGAACGCTCTGCTCCTAGGCTCACAGCAGCACTGGCCCTGAAACACGGTGACCACTGCTGGGAAAGGAGACACGGGAGTCTGCCAGGAAGGTGGGCAGGGATCAGAGAGGAGAGAGAGCAGAGCAGACGTGTCTATGAGCCAGGCTTATGGAAGGAGAGGAAGGGAAGGCACACGCTTCTCCACACTGCACATGCACAGCCCTCACAATCCGATTCCACTGCCATTTCCACCAGCGGCTCGGCTGCACTCACTGTGGAGAGAATTCTGACTCTTCCACTCTGGTTTGCTCTCTCTCCTCTCTGTTGCTGGCCTATAGAGCATGCGGTCTGATAAAGATGCTCTTGGTTCCCAGCTCTCCATTCATGCATTCTCTTAAGTTCCAAGAGCAAACATGTAAGCTGACTTCACCTAGCCCTCTTGTACCTGCATGGAGTTCTAGAGATGTTACACAGCTATCTCACCTACACCACAGACACTGCATGCTGAAAACTCATTGTTTCCCCACTAAATCTATTCCTCCTCTGTATTCTCAAATCTATACACTCAGGAAGTCATACAACTCACAATTCTCCAGAAGGAAGCTAGCCTTAATCTCCAGAAAATACCAAGCCCTACGTGATCTTTGACACACTTTGGTCATACCTGTTTTCTCTGCACAGGATGTACGGCCCCACTTTCTTCTCCCAATGGCTCATGTTTCTTTTCAAAGTACAGCTTGACTTCATCCTCAGTTCTCCACCGTGAAGCCCTTATCTTCTGCAGAGCCCCCACTATACTGACTGTCTCTGGGAATTAGTTCCAGACTAAAGCACTGTGCTGTTGTCTACCTGGCATGGCATTCCACTCTTCCACTTGATCTCCCCGACCCTCCACCTCAGCCCTTTCAGTGAGGAGCAAGGCGGCTGACACGGTCATCCATGCTCCTGCCCCCCCTCGCCCCCCACTATTTTACTTCAGTGGGAAAGATTTAGAACACAAGGCCAATCGCACCAATTAATTTTCATCTGCTGAACTCTGATATATGTCCTGTGTACTTTACAACTTAAGAAGAACCTTCACATACATTACCTAACACAGTCACAACCACCTTCCTTTTCATAGAAAATATATGTATGCGTGTCACTCTGAAATGACTAGGACATACTTACAAGCATGTGCTAGCACACACAGAGGTCAGCTGAGCTACTGGACAATATGGCTGCCCAAAGGACATCTATTTGGAAAAAGAGAAAGGAAGAAAGAAAAAGAGAGAAGGGAAGGAAGGAATAGAAGGAATGAGGGAGACACCAAGCTCCAGCTATGAGCCAAAAGTCAGTCCTCAGAGGAGGGAGCCAGACGGTCAGTCACCCGTTAGGCACAGAGTCACAGCACACAAATGGCGCCATCTTGTACACAGAGAGTATCAGCTACAATGAAGATGGTGGGGTTTCGAGGAGACCGTCTGCAGGAACCAGCCCATGACGACACTGGCAGTGATGAGCTACTGCTGTGCACTATGTTCTAGCTCCAGTTGTTCTCAGCAAGAACACTAGTATCTCTGTGAAAACCAAGCAAGGAAGAAACTCAGAATGGAGCAGCAGGTTGAGAGGAAGAGAGCACACAGCGGGGTCCACACTCATGGCTTATTGCAGCGAAAGGATACGGAGCAAAGTCGGCAAGGGAAGGTGCGGGGCAAAGTCCAGTGGGAAGCAGGGCAAAGGAGGCAGCGGCCCAGAGCAGGGTGTCATCAGAGCACCAGCCATTTCAGGGGACTGCGGGGGAAAGCCGGAGTGCAGAGCTGTCAGGATCCCTGAAAAAAGGGAGTTGCAGAGAGGTGACCCCAACATTCCAGTTTCCCAGAGGCATTTGACAAACTGTTAAATGACAGCACAAGAAGCTAAGCAGCACAGGAGCAAACACAGACAGACAGAGCCACAGGAGAGGAGGGTCCTGGGCCTCCACTGTGACCCCTAGGGGCTGCCACTTGGAAAGCCAGGGGGACTGAACCAGGAGTCAATTAAATTTCACACATTCACATTTTTGTTTGACATTACCTCAAGCCAGCTCAGAGGCGCACTGGGTTGGGGCACCAAACCCTACTCCTTGAAGCTCAGCTGAGGACAAAGAAATCCTCTGATCTTTACATGACACCCCGCTGGCATTTGGTAAACTGCCAGACATGCCAAGAAACAAAACTAGAGAAAAGCCCAACAGAAACAGCTCTAGTGTGCTAATTATCGCATGGAAGCTCTAAAATAACTGTGATCCCAATAAAAGGGAAAAATGAGAAAATGTAGTAACTGAAATAATCTATTCCCAGCAGACATACACATATAGACATACACACACAGACACACAAACATACACAGAGACACAGACACACACAAAAACAGATACATACATGCACACTGACACATAAACAAATACATACAGAGACAGACACATAAAAAGATACATACACAGACACACATATAAATAGACACACATACGCAAACACACAGAGAGACAGACACATACATATACACATAGACACAGAAACAGACACACAGAGACACATACACACACACAAACACACAGAGACACAAACACACATACAAACAGATATACACACAGAGATACAGACACATAAACAAATGTACACATAGACACTTAGACAACACAGATATGCGCGCGCACGCGCACACACACACACACACACACACACACACACCAGTTTAAGAGCACACTACATGGCCCTAACCTGGAGCAGATGCAGAGGAGTCCAGCCTGGGTAACAGAA